TCTATTTCTCGATAGCTTGGCAGTACTTAGCGTGCTGTCACGTCACAAGCATAAATCTTGCGGCGCTACCGATTTATTACACGCGGCATAACGCGCTTGATATTCTGTGTTTTATACGAGGGAGCACAGTTCCAAGAAACATCATTTTTCACCGGCTCTTTATGCGCCATACGACAAAATAGTAGCAAATATATATGAAAAACTACTTTTTTCCAACTCTTTTAATATATTAAGAAATCTGTACCCATACATGTTTTGATAAATACTTTTTAAGCGTGAAAATTTGTGTAAAAAAAATCCAAGAAAAAAATTTTTTGTGATACTTGATATTGTTCATGTGAAAATCGCTTTATATTAATTTGCTTTGCCACCGTCTGATCATGCAAAATTGAAAACCCAAAATCAAGACCTCGAATATCGCGTGACTGATCGATCACGGATTTGCCTAATCCTGATATCCTTGCGCTTTGAACGTAATACGAAAAAAGAGACTGCTTCGTTGGCCTTGATCGTCTACACGTGACGTTAAAAGTTAATAGAAGCTCCTGCGACCTTGATTGCCACGCGTATATGAAATAGGAGCCAGCAAGCGTTTAGCTTAATTTAATGTCTGTCAAAATCTGTCTTGAATGTGCTTCATTAGCTCTTTTAATGCGCCACGATTCGTTGCAATTTATATTACCATTCAAAAATATTGATTCCTCTATTTACATCTCTTAATTGTACGTGCTAAAATAGTTTGTATTCACAACGACACGTGTATATAAAAATAGTATATGTTGCATGGAAAAAAATATATTTTTATACGGGTGTATATACAGGGTATGCCAAAATTGTGGAATCGGTCGAATATCTCGAAAACAAAGCATTTTTGAGAAAAATGTTTCATACAAAAGTTGTAGAGTCTCAAAAGATCTATTTAATGGGCGTATCAGTTTTATTAAGAACTAAAAGCCAATAAAATTAGGAGCTAAGAACGAATAAATTTATGAAATGTCTCTAATCTGAATGTAAATCTTAACGTATTAAGAGAAACATAGGATAAAGTTGAAAAATTAAAAAATGATTGGGTATCTTAGATCATTGTCATTAAGTATAATAATTGTCTCAAAGTTCATCATATTTATTTAGATTATCATATTTATTTAGAATATCATATTTATTAAATGTTTCCCCTAAAAGAAAGTTCCCCAAAAAATATGATTCTAAGTCTACATCTATGCATAATATATTTTGAAATAAATTTTAAAAACGAAAATAATTTTATTTTTCTTTTTCTTTAAATTGGAATTTCAAAAATAATTTTGATAAAGATTTTAAATATGAATATGTAAAACGTTCGTTGTATGATGCTTCATAAATTCAAAGCGCCTTTATTTGACCGTATGCGAACACCATTTATAACGTTATTGTAGACAAAATTCACAGGCTAAAATAATAGAAGGCCCGTGGCCTTCAGTAAAAATTTACGAATTGCCTCTTTAAATATTTCAGCGTGACTTGGGATCTCTTCTATAAATCAAAGCAGAAGCCTGAAAATAATCCTGTTCTTCCCGAAGGTTGTTCTCTTATATCAGAAGTAAATCTGCCTTGTCGCGCTAGCCTACGAAATGATTTCGTATATGGCACCTGTGTCCAATGAAGTATCTCAGTTTCTCAAAACCGATCAGAAAAGGAAATTTCCGTTTCGCATTACGAACGAATTCTGCATATTTCACAAAACTAAAATATATGACAAATTTTCTGAAATACTATTTCTTCCGATTCCAAAAGAGAAAGAGGCTTTCGAAATTAAATTTTTATATTTAATTTTTTCTAAATATTTCTGAATGAAAGTAAAAACGTGGTTATTTTAAACTCCATTTGTATTTTTTTATATGAATATTTTTTTCATATATTAAAAAGATAATGCCTAAATTTTCTGATTCTTTATCAGTTACTTTCTTTATTCCGATATTAATCAATATTAAAATTAAAAAATTCATAAACCTTATCTTCGATACCAAAAGAAGATAAAAGTTAATTTAAAAAAAATAGAAACAATTAAAAATAATCGCACTCGGTGTTTCTAGCAGCGAGGATTCTAAATATTAATTCATCGCACGTCTAAATTCGGGATTATCGAAACATTTGATGAAATGTCGATGTGATTTTGGACAATGGTGATATAATTGACGAGTAACGAAGTTACCCCGGGAACCCACGTTAGTTAGTTTCAGTGAATTCCGAGCCGCGCGAACGTTCGATATGCACCCAGGTCACGTTCGACGTCGTGACTACCAGCCAAGCAGGTTCCGATGTTCCGTTTCTGTTCTGGTACCACCTTGCGCTCGCGCAATCGAAAATACACCGCGGACCAAACGAACAAATAATAACGGAGGAATACGGTAATTCCGGTAAAATGCCTCCGCCACAAAGGAGACAATATATTTCTGGGTATAAAATGCATTGCGAATCACCTTGAAAAAGCCTCTCGTTTCGTGTTTCGTAATAAAGGACAGCGTCGCTGATTTTTTAAAGCGCCGCGTTTCAAGGTGCGCGGATTGAACCTTGAAACGCTCATCGCTGTAATTTAACGAACACACGCGTTCCTGGGAAGTTCGAGCTGATGATAAAAAGAAATGTCCGTAACAATAAACACTTTTATTGGAAATTATTTGTAAAATTTTTTGTGTTGCTTCTTGTACTGTCTTTCAAAATTCATAAAACAAAACTGTTTCGGTACAGTGACGTTTAAATTTAATATTTCAACATCCTACGGAACATGTAGGAATGCATAAATATCATAAAAAAAAAAAAATTAAAAAAAAATATTCGTGCGAGGCATATGATCGCTCGTTATGTGTGCTTCCCTCGCTCTTTCGTCTTCCTTTGTTCGTGCTGCGCGACGATGCGCGCGAGAAGAAACGCGTATGTTTAAACTGCGCAGCGAGCTAATCTCGGTAGAAGATAAGAGAAACGAGAGCGAGCGGGAGAGGACGAGTCGGAGAGAGGTAGAGATAGACTTGGAGAACTGCGGACAAACAAGAGGGGAGAAGCAGGCACGTGGCGGGTGTGCCTAGGTCAACTGCACACAATGCCCGAAAGCGAGTCGAGAGGAGGAGGCTCATCGAGCGGGTGGAGGAAGGCGTGAACGTGAGTGAACTACGTTGCCTACGTAATTCCGGGGCAGCCTATTGCTTACAAGGCTCGTTTAGGATCTTCGTGTAATGTGGTTGCAGTCTTCCTATAATTATTCAGATCTCCCGAGATTGATGCAGGACATGGAGGACGAAAAGGAAAAGGGGAAAGTCAAATGAAAGGAACGGATAATTAAATTTCGATATATATATATGGAAAATTATGCTTCGATAGAAAGAGAAAAGAAAGTGTTTTGTCACCGGTCGAAAGAAATTTTCTACTCCTAATTTTGTGTATTTTCATTCTTTATTCCTTATCTTCGTTTATTATATTTGAATCTTAAATGCGCATCTTAGAGATTTTTATATCTTTTTGAGTTTATCATTGTCATTTTTACATCAATGTAATTTTTATCAGGTATATATATTTATAGGTATATTATACGTAGTGTTTCAAAGTTCCTTTCACAGACTTCTGTGAGGTGAATTTTTTACGTCCAAAGATTATAATTCAATGAGATATATATATATATATATCGCGAATAATTTACGACGTGCGAATATTTACGACAATGAATACAATAAAAATAAAGACACGTTTTTGCACAAAAGAAAGAGCGTGGATTAGATGTAGTAGTTTAAGTGATATAATACTAAAACAACAATTCTCTAACAAAGGAAGAAACTGCAGTGTGCCATTAATCAACAGCCTAAAACAAAAAGAGGTCCTCCACTTATGACACGCCCGCGCAAATGCACCCCAAATATCTTCACAGAAGACTCTCTCGGAATACTCTGGGAGAGGGTCGTTCGCAGTATTGTGCGTAGCGGAGGACTTTCCGACTTTCAGTTAAAACGTCCAAATAAACAGCGGCTTGAATTAAGCACTGCTCCCGCGAGGGCGATGGAGTAGGCAAAGAAAAAGGAGGATGTTCGCGCAAAGAGGCGAAAGAAAAAGGAGAGAGACGAACGAAAGCTCCGAGTGGGGGAGGAAAAAGAGAGAGAGAGAGAAGCTAATTAAAGAGTGACACAAGGTGGTTGCGTGGAAGAATCCCGCGCGTTTATCTCTGAGATAAACTCGAAACAAAGCACCGTGGGATAATTAATCTTGGAGCTGAGCACCTGGATCTACGAGTCTGCAGATGCTTCAAATTAGTAACATTTCTTGACAGATTCTTCTCGTTTTGTATTTTGCATAACAGTCAAGGTTAAATTTACATTTTATAGTATCATATCTTGCCATGTGTGTATGTGTGTGTATCCGATAAATACCTTTGAGAAAAGAATAAAAAAAGTCTACAAATGTGCGTAAATATAGTTTCTCGAATTTTTAAAGATTTAAAAATTTGTCTCTTGGTGTTACGTGTATGAAAATATCCGGCTGGAGAAGCAGCGTGCAGCCCTAGGATTAATACGCATAACGTGGAGGGCAGCAACACCGCCGGTAGAGGAAGGGGACAACGAACTTGCACACTGTAATATCGCTCGCCGACATTCTGGGTTAAGCGCCGCTGCGTAGAACGCGCCACGTGCGGAGAAATTAGCCGCGAGGCAAGCCGCGAAGCGAAATCGGGGAGATCGCTTCCGAAACAAGGCGCCGGCCTTCGGCAAAGAATCGGCGCGACAACAAAAGCCTCCGCGAGAAGGAAACCTCGAGATCTCTTCATTCTTTTGAGAGAATGCGAATTTTCTTCATTTAATCCGACGACGAGAAGAAAAAAACTCGTCTCGAGGTTCTCGTTCTCATCGGTAGATCTCTATCTTACCTGAAACCTGAAATTTCTTTCCTCCCGCCCAGTTGAGAGACACTGTCGGTAATGTTATAGGATATTATTGGACCGCGATATTAATTCTCAGCGATTGCATTAACCCTGGAGTGGAAACAGGAAAGACCGCAATATCCATTTCAAGAGAAGCTATGCGATCGACGCTCTCTCTCTCTTATTCTTTCTCTCTTTTCCCTCTTCTCTTTTATGCTTTCCTGTCCTCTCTCTTTCTCCTTTCTCTTTCTTTCTCTCTTCTCGGCGACAAAGAGAATCAAAGTTTACATTAGATAAAGAGTTGCGTGCTTGCCGGACAAACGGAGCTCTTGAGCGCTTTGTTTAGAATCGCTGACAAAGATCCAGATTACACGTGGCCAGTACTGAAGATTGCGATAAAAGTATAGTTCGAAGGCCGTGACCAAATATATTAGTTGCTTAAAAGAAAACAAAATGCGAAAAAAATTGCTTATCTTGCCTGTTTTTAAAAGAGTCAATTTATTATCGTCGTTAATACGAATAAAATTTGAATTTAATGTCGGATTCTTAAACTATTTAATAAACTTCTGCATGAATACATGTTTGAAAATCTAAATATTTTATATATAAAATATAAAAAATAATAGATGGGCAATACTCGACAAGCAGGATCTCTTAAACTTTTAATATCTTTTTATTTTTTTCAATTTATATATATAAAATTATAATTATATAATTATAAATTATAAATATTTTTATAATAATTATATATAATTATATATAATTATATATAATTATAAATTATATATATAAAATTATATATATAAAAATTTAAAAAGAAGATAAAGAAAAGAAAATTGTACATATAAAATTAAGGCGCCTAAAAATCTTGCCTGTTGAGTATTGTTCATTATTACTATCTGTTATTTGAACATATATTCTTGGCTTATCACATTGAATTGTTTACTCTTTTATATATTGTTTCCACTCTTATTTTTATTTTTATCATAAAGAATCTGATGAAATGAGATAAGATCAAAGTAAAGATAGAATTATACAAGTTCAAGTTTAATGATTTTTTTTTTAATCAATAGTAGATTTATTTGAAAGGAAATTTTTCTATAAGATATTTTGTTTATTTCTATAGATGTATAGAACACGATAGAGGCATCTCAGCAGGATCTTAATGTGTGAAGTAAAAGTATAATTCGAGGAAATCAGCAAGGTCACCAGACCCTTTTAGGACTTTGGGATTTTAAGATCTCTTAGGAATGCCTATGATAAAAAAAAAGAAAAACGAAACCACCAACTATCCTTCTGTTGAAGCTACTTCCTCGTTCTAGTCTCTCCCGAAATGATCGGTAACACTTGCATTCTTTGTTCGCTTCCTTTTCATGGTTTCTTTCTTTGATACCATTCTTTGATACCATTTAATAGCATTTCAAAAGAATTTTAACGTGAGAACTTCATTATTTGTTAAGGCTTTATTTTTTACAAAAAGAATCGCTTAGAATTTCCAGACATTGTCAAGTAATAGCATTTAGAAAAGGCAAAAGAATTTTATTTGTGTTGTCAGTAAGATATATATTTTTTGTTTTCTGTTCTACAATATTAGAAAGTAACGACCGTAAAATGCGATATTAGAAAATACTTTCGTAAATTTTCGAAGAATTTTAAAAATTCTTTGTGTAATGATTTAAAGGCCTGAAGTTTAAACTTTTTTCGACCAAAGTTTTATTTATTTTTAAAAATTTCTTAAAATAATAAATATTTAGAAAATCTAGTGAATTTCATCAGTTATGTAAAAATTTTTGTTAAGAAGATTAATATTATTAATATTAATAGCTTTGTATTGGATCTGCAAATTGTTTTGTTTTAATAACAAAATTATCAGGTTCTTTTTTTTTCCTCAATTTTGTTCATTCTTATATCGAATAGCATTATTAGAAAATAGAATATCCCAGTTTTTCCAAGTTTAATTAACGTAATTTCATTTCGTCACTGCCTCGGTATATACATTGTACTACATCATGTCGTGCTTGAAGGCTCGTCAATCGATATCATCACCTGTCTATACAGGTGATGATATCGATTGATAATTAACTATAATGAACCGAATGCATTCGAAAAGTAGACAACCGTCAAGAACAAATTCCGTATCGTCAAAACAAACCCGACCGAAATGCAAACGCCGCGGTTGGTTGTTAAAATGATCGACGAGTTTGGAATCGAGAAGACAACGGGCTTTCTCGCAGTCGCGCGCGCGTTTAAAAGGCGCATCCGGCCACGTGGAGACTGACTCGACTGGAGAAAACATCATTCCGATGTAAATGCGACCCGACTGCATAATGTTGTCGCCTGGACGCCGGCGCGAGTTGCTCGCTGCCGAAAAACACAAAAGTAGGCTTTCGATTCTCTCGACGACAACCCCAGGCGATGCGCATTTTAAAAAGTTCTCTCTCGTCTTTAAAAGAAAGTGCATCCATCCCACTTATTTTTTTTTTTTTTTTTTTATTAACGCAGATGAAGCGATATATAATTAATTAAAAAACATGCAATTTCGCTAATTTTGTCTTTATTCACTGACTAGAGAATAAAAAAGAAATTAACAATTTGTCTCATTTTCATTTGTTTGTTCGCCAAAAATAATATGGCATTTGTCGCACTCTTTGTAAACTTTACGTTATGTAAAATGTGAGATTAAATATTTTGTTATAGTGTCTTATCGATAATTCAATTTCTGATTTGCCACAAAGTCGCGACTTTCCCTCGGAAGTCGAGTCACAAATTGGCGGATCGTGAAAATGTCTTCGTTCGCGTCATCGCCATTGATCTTGCGCAATATTTGACGAGTCTCTGGGCCGTCTGCCAATTGCGATTCGACTTAACACATGTTACGAATAAAGCGACGAGGACAAACGATATGAATCACAGACTGGCGTCAAGCGATTGTGCGCCTACAGAAAATATGTTCCAGTCGGAAATCATTACAAAAAAATATTACGGTATATTACATACATTCAATGTTATTGTAAATCATTGTAAATCAATTGCTCAAAAAATACAATGCAACAATATAAATTCGATACATATTTATATTTTTTTTTTAAATAAATTTACATCACTAGATTATTTAATAAAAAAAAAAAAAACGTAATTCATTTCACAAATTCACAAAATAATTATTCGAGTTTTCGAGCCATAACGCGAGTAGCAGGTAATCGAACAGAAGTTGACACCGACTCTGCATGTCTGGCATGAGAACGCGATTGCGCGCAGGTTTCCTTTGTCTCACGCATGCACGCGTGCTCTTTGTTTACACGAGCATTCCGCGAGTCCATCACGCATGCGGCCGCATCGCGTTCGCCGTTGCGCTCGCGGCTCCGCGACGGCTTATCTGCATCACAAAGCGTCGCCGATTTAGTTTGGCCTACATATCCCGACGCGTTTCCCCAGCTTGACGACCGAAGTGGTGACACATCGAGATAACGATGTTAGGAATGGAATATAAGACAAAATTTCGACCGAACTACTTTTACGGAGGCAAGTGCGAGTGCTCGAGATGCTATTAAGATGCAAATTCGAAGCTTCGATTTAATCGCGGCGGATCTTTACAGAAAGGATAACAATAAAATTCCAAAGTAAATTGCATGGTTACGTAACTTGTAACTAATTAATCAGTTACAAGAGTCGTATTAAAAAGTTATTAATATTTGATTTAATTAATTCCAAATTTAACTTTTAACTTCAACCAGTTACTTTTTAAAATATGTATCTAATTTTAACTTCTTAATATTTTTTTTTTAATAAAATATTATGGTGTCATTTCGTAATTGTTTTACCGTTTAATTTAATTATATTTTATCGTCTAACATAAATAACGATTTTTAAAATTAACTTTTAACTTAATTTAATTTTAACATAACTTTTAATGTAGTTCAATTAATTTTATAGATTATTAACTTTAATTTAATTTAAAGTTAAGAAAATAAACTGGGTTATTCTAACCTGATAAATTGATAGAGACAATAAAAAGAAAAACCGTTAATTAGATATAAAAAACGTTAATTAGATATTTTATCTTCCATAATAATGAGGGAGAAAAAAAAACGCTAATGTTCTAATATAATATCGAATATTATTAAAAGATCCACTTTTACAATCTTCTTCGCGATAATTTCTGCC